GTAGGTAGGTAGGTAGGTAGGTAGGTAGGTAGGTAGGTAGGTAGGTATCTATGTATGTATATAGCTCATTCCATGCTTCGAAAGCCAGATGATGGGTCATCTGTGTGACCCGTCCCGTGGTGAAGCTGTTAGGGTGGAAGACCTGCCTTCATCGGCATATATCAAATCCACGTAACATCTACCAGGATGTTGGTATGTGTCTTGTTGTAGGTCGCGCATGTTTGCAGGCAAAGCCAGTTTTTCCCGCTCTGGTAAAAGCCGATTGTAAGCACCAAAGCACCAAGCTGGGGATGTCCAAACACGGGACGTAACAAAAATATCAATCGATGTCCTGGAGTTGCACCTGAACGCTTCCGAAGTGGCTGAACCAAGTTACAGCCAAGTCTCATTTCCAAAACACACCTTCTTTCACTGGGAAGATCACCCCCAATGACCGTCTTCTGCCAAGCGGCAAGCGACTAGCGGTTCGATACCTGAGCAGTCCGACTGTTGAGGCTGGGGCACTAAACCTGAAGGATATGCCCTACAAGTCCAAAGACTATACTTTGACCGGCTGCCTGAACTCGGGTCACCTAAAGACCAATCTTTGTATATAGTCTTTGACTCCCAGGGTGTATGTATGATTGATTTATGATTGTTTCATTGGGCACTGGAATGACACTGGACATGCAGCGGTGTTTATGACACTGGACGTTCATTCCTGCAATATTCATAACACGTGATTCTTCTACCATTGTTGTGCTTGGTTCTCCTCCGAGCCTGGTCCAACTCCATCCGACAGCGTTGATCCAACGCACGCTGTTTTGGACTCTGCAGTGCCGATCCATGGGCAAATGGAGGGCGCCGGTGTGGAGCCGACGCGAGGCGATTTTGCTGGAGCATGCTCCACGTGCTTTCAAGGGGAGCTTACCTCCCTCCGCGCGTTTGTTGGAGCATAGACTGAAGTGAAACATGAAGATTATGCTTCAAATGGGCCTTCTTTGTCGAGGTAGTGCGACAAACACCCTGTACAATGCAGGAGTTGACGAGTTCGCCGACTACTGCGACCTGCAATCTCTCCTTCTGCCCCCAGCCGAGGCAGCTCCAAAAAGCATCTTGACTCAACCAAAGGAAGCCTTCTAGGCTCTAAAAGCACTCCTCTGAGGTTCGAAAGCCCAAGGTGCCCCGACCCTGGATCCAGATCCCATCCTCACGTCTCAGAACTTCTGATACTCGGATCTGGTCCTCGGGCCATCCAGCTCCGAGTCCAGCCAGGAGCAAATGGACAGTACCAGAAGCCCGAAGGAGCCAAGCACGTGAGGGTATGGCGCCTGGATCGAAACAAATCGCGACCGATTCGGATGGGTCGACCATGGGGGTCGACCATCGGTCTTTCGGCTTTTTCGAAACGTTGGCGGGTAGGGAGTGACTGGGAGCTCCGGGTATGGTCTACAGATTGATATGCCCGCGCGCGACATGGCAGAGAGGGCGGGAGAACTTCTGGTGAATATATTGGATCTTACTGAGAAGCGCCACGTCCGCAACAGCTGCCAAGCCGTGGTAGATTTCCAGGGCACACCCCTGGAGGATCGCCCCAACGAAGAAGTTCCATTGAAGGAATTGGGGATACTTGGACACCATTGGGCCACAGGAATGGCCTGAAAAGACTAGTGACATCTAGTGACTAGAGGCACTGTCCTCTTTTGATGTCTTATATCTTTTTGATGTGTTTTGTTCTGCTTGGCTATTCATTCCTTCTCCCGCACTTGCCCTCCAAGCAGCTGGAAAGGGCCCATCCATGGTCATGGCCTTGGGTGAAAAAATCCATCCCAGCAAGCGGTCCAAGAAAGGCCGGTCGAATCCGTGACACCGTTAACATGATCCACACCGATTAGACTGAAAACACCTACAGTAGTACTAATACTATCTAAGACTATGTGACTATGACACCTAAGACAGCTGTTCTAATCATGTGACTATGACTCTGACTGATAGAGATGAACTGGTCATCCACACTTCGTGAGACCAAGCGATGCCTGACGACGCTTCATGACCCCTCCCTCTTGGGCAGAAAATGTCTGCCGGTTATGGGTACAAAATGGTACAAGCACCTTTGTCCGTGCTTATTTGTTCTTGTCGCCTGTATGGTGTCTGGTTCTTTTGGAGGAAATGCACAAATAAAGAAGGATCCATCATCCATTGATGGTTCCAGGAACTCCCATAGTGATGAGGAGCACCCTGCAACCAGGGGTTTGAACTACATGGTTTTGTAGGGCATTCCCTTGATGCTTCAAGTAATGCCTCCTGGACCTAAGAATGCACGTGATCGTGTCTCAGCGTTTTTGTACCCTGCAAATTAGGCATTCTTGTGAAAGCGGGATGAATTTTCTGCCTAGATGAAGTTCAGCAGAAAATTCCATTATTAAGCAACAAATGAAACTGATAACATATATTTACATAGTATATAATATATAGATATATCTATTCTATCCGCTTTTTGGGACTGCCATTCCCAAAACGAGCTGCTGCCCCCATTCACCTCGCTCCGGGCCGCAGCATCGCCCAAAGCCACCAGCATGGCGCTAGGCGCCAAGGCTCGCATGGCCGGCGGGTGGAAGAGAAACACCGCCAGGGCTGCGACACCTGGGTTCAGCTGTGGGAACCCCGGGTCTCAGCTGGCATGTGAGACTTGAGATCTTCCCAGCTAGCCAGGGACTTGATAATTTCATTTTGAACCCAGAACCTGTGGGACGATCCTCCAAACACTGGACATCTCAGTCTGCAGCTTTCCAATTCTAGACTGAGATACATTCGGTTCCGCCGAACACACAACGCACCGATCATGCGAGCCCGGAATCGATGAATTACACGCTCTTCGAATGCGACGCATCGACGCCTTCTTCCGGAAGCCAGCACCACAATCCATCCCGGAGTGCATCCTCCCAGCTCCTCCCCCGTTCAAGTGGCCGAGACCGAAGTCGCGGATGCCGGCCACCTTCACCTGATGCGTCGTGTTTTTTCCAGGCAGTGGGGAGAACAGAGGGAACTCTAAGCTCATCAGCTCCCTGGAAAACCACGAGCTCGGATTGTTTCAGATCTCGAATTTGAATGCTGAAGTTTGTTTTCTCCACCTGTCGATGACGGAAAGGCACCATCGCAGGAAAATCGCCAAGAATGAAGGCCAGGACATCACTGCAGTTTCACTGCTATACTACGGGGTTCTGGCACAGTGCATTTCGTACACAACAAGTTGCATGTCTTTAGCACGTCCATCGCTGCGGGCGAGAAAAACCTTCTGCAATTCCAGGCGCCCATTGGAGCGTCTGAGCATCAGTGCTTGGAAGGCCATAGGTTTCTGCAGCAAAGACCGGCGAGATGAGGCAACTGCCACCCAGGCCTCACACAAGCGGCCGTCGGATTTCGCCAAACATGAGGCATTGAAAGAACAGTTTCCCACGTCCGTGGGAACTCATGTTTTCCACTGAATGGCATCCAACATCTGCTTTTTCAACTGTTCCCACATGACCGTCACATGTTGTTTGCTCAGTTTGTGGAAAGCTGAACCCCTTCCTATTCACAGTTTGATTGCAAATGTTTCCCGTTCAAAATTTTAGACCGTGACACCCTCTGGAGGGTGTCACCGTCCTGCTGGCTGCCCTGCCTATGAGGCCCAAGCCCAGGCAGCATGAGCCTACTTGAACGGTAACATGCACCAGCCGCGCCATGGCGCAAGGGGCCAAGCAGCTGATTTTCTTGAGTTCAATGAATTACAAAATTACATATATATATATACACCGTATACCCTATGGCAATATTTAACTAAATATAAAGCCATCCAGGACTTCGAATCCAATGGAATGGATCTGGAAAGGAATCTGCATGTGGTGCTTTGGGCTACTATAGTAGGGTGGTGTGTTTGATTTCATTATGTTTCCAAGAAGGCTTTTCAGGCCCAGATGATCAACAAATCAACAAAGCCCCAGTGGAGCATGTACTTCGAGGGTCGTCACTCACAATGAACCCCCTGAGCCGCATGTGTTTGTGACCTGGTGTAGCTCATACCCAGGTGTGCAGTATCCGGGATGGTGCATGAAAGGAAGTCAAGCAGGTGAAGAAACTGAGAACCAGACCACGCAAGCCATGCCACTTCCATGTTCGGCAACAATGATTGTTATCAAAGAGTGGGCCATAGCGGGCCAACTGGGAAGAAGTCCTGTAGCCCCCCATCAAGAAATGCCACTTGCAACAGCCAAGCCCCACACTTCGCCCCTAAATGTGAGGCTCAAAGATCCAGCGCGAACAAACACACACACACACACCTACTTTGCTATTTTCCCCACATAGCTCCAGGCTATAGGGGCTCTAACTTCTCAATGGTGTGGCTCTGGATCGGCGTTTTGGTTTTGCGGGTGCTGCTGCCGTGCTGATGCTGGTGCGAATGCAGGTGCTGGCTCTGGATCGGCGTTTTGGCTTTGCAGGTGCTGCTGCCGTGCTGGTGCTGGTGATGGGTCGGCGTTTTGTTATTCTGGTTCTGGTGCAGGCGCTGGCTCTGGATCGGCGTTTCGTTTTGCGTCATGAACAAAATGACATCATGTCACGCCAGGGGTGACATGATGCCATGCCAGGGGTGACATCATGTCATGCCCGGAATGACATCATGTCATGCCAGGGAGGATATCATGTCACGCCAGGGGTGACATGCTGTCATCTTGTGCATGACACCGTCGTCTGGGCAGCTATGGCTGGTCCTTGCCGATTTGCAGCTTTACGTCTGTGTTGGGCAAAGCGGGCGCATTCAGCTGATAGATGTTGCGCATATTGGTGGAATGGTCTGATGTTGCGTGCTGCGGTGACAGCCGTCCGCAGCGTGTCCTTAAAACCCGCTATCTGGGGTCTATGCCGATGTAATTAACACTCAACTCTGGGATGACCTATCAGGAAAAGCATACGCATCATTCAATCGACATCACCTATGAGATGGAACAAGCCTTCCGATCCCCCAAACCCATCTACGTTGTATCATCTCAATCTTGATCTACAGAATCTACATGGTAAAAACATGTAAAACCCACATTGTTAGAGTCAAGCCCCTTCAGGTCACATGCATCAAACATGGTTCCACACTGGCAGGTCCCCAGGTCCCGGCTGTAGCCGTCGGCCCCAGTGACGCTGCCAGGGCTTGGTCGCTCTCGTCATGCTGCGCGAAGGCGTGGCCATAGGCCACCCAGGCGGGTGCGAAGCGACCGTCGAAGCGGAGCGCCTTGGTGAGACACGGTGGGACATGTCGAGCCTTCATCGCACAGGATCTATCAGGATCTGAAGTGAGGACTAAAGTGGAGTTTCATTGAGTTATGTGAATTTTCTATAGTCTTGTGGAGGTCTGTCACTGTCTGATAGTCCTTCACCTGTGTTGACTAGTTATCCGTGACTTCAATCCCACAAAACGGGTGGTCATCCGGGTGGCGAAGGGTGTGAATATTGTTTTTGAATGTTTTTGAATGGTAAACACTGTATGACGCAAGTGTCTTTGTCTATATTTGTCTCTCTTTGGGTCTCGAAATGGGCCCCAAAGAAGGAAGTCCGGTCAGACTCGTTTCTGCTTTTGTTGTCGGAAAACCAAGATCCTGGTCCTTTCTTGTGCAAAACTCATGTAAACCCAGGCTGGATGTTTAACGTTTAAGGAGAGGGCGAACGATTACCCACAAAAATCCATAGGACAGGACCGATTGCTAAGAAACGCCTTTAATATCCTTTATTATATGATATGTTTATATTCATAGCCGTTCCAAAAAGAACGGAAGCATTTAACGCATTTAATTTAAATGTAATCACAACTGGTGGGTGGTGAAAACACGGTCCAGCACCCCAAACCGAACCCGGTAATTCAGCCCAGGCCGCCTTGTGAAAGAAACGCCGAGCATGCTCGTACCTGGGCTGAGAGAGGAAAGGGGGAAGAAAAACAGGTGTACAACTATGGAACACGGAAGGGACATGAAACAAACATCTCCTCTGAACTCTCTAGCAGCATCTATTGGCCAAAAGAAACCTCCTGAGATCTCCTGCGTATGCGTGCGGCTGAATCTTACTTGCCTCATGGAGCCTGTTAAAAGTGATGGTGGGCTGTGTTGTGACAAAAAAACGGAACTTCTACGTCACGGGCAGAAATCTCAAACTCGTCAAGCAACTTCTTGATCATGTAGTAGTAGCAACCTGCTGAAGATGAATTGCACATTGTGACATGCAATTGTGCACCTCATTCCATGCGTGTCGGTGGCATAAAGAATGAGATTTATGATTTATGCCCTCTTCTCGTCTAAGAAAGGAGGTCACCCGGCATCGAATCCACGGATCAGTTTTATGTGGCTAAACATGTTAAACCACTAAAATACTTGAAGCATGCTACACCAGCACCAAAGCTCTGGCTGCTTTTTGGAGCACCTTTCAAACCTTGACCTGTCACCAGCGTCCATACTACACTACGTAAACCACGACTTAGCCTCTCCATTGAACACCCGAACAGGAATCAGTTCTCCTCACAACAGGTGTCCGAAAGCCCAACTTGTTCAGTCAATAGCAGCCCATGATAACAAGGACAATGCAACATGACTCTAACTCCTTTGCAGGAGATATATATAATTCTCTCCGACACCCTCCGCATAATCTCCGCATCTCTCATTAATTGCCTCCCCAACTCCAAACAGCATGTACCACAAACCTATAGCCACAAATAAGGACTGCATTCTTGTCTGCCAATCCTGGAAGGCAAGCCTGCTGTGAACCATGCAATGGCCGTCGATGGGTATGCGTTCATCAACTGATGGGCCACATAGAAAACAACCTCAGTTGGTCTGGATGCTTTCCATGCACGCATTGTGTGTCTTGCCTTTGGATGCTTTTCATGCAACCTCTCCCTACTTTACTTCCAGGCGCCAGGAACGCGCCGCGTCTTGGGATGGACACAAACTCTATCACACTGTGGCCAACCGTTGTGGCCTGGATGAATTCCTGGCGTGCAAAGTCTCGCCTTTTTAGGTTCCGGCTTCGGTATTCTGTACCTTCACCAACCGGGGGCTCTGGGGCACTACGAACGGCCATGTCAAGCTCAGAGGCATTAGTCATGTTGAGCATCACCAGCGAAGAGATGTGAACCTCGCAGCTGAAAAACACCAAGCCTTCCAAGCTGCAGAAAAGAAACCAACGAAGTGGCAAGTGCTTTGCAAGATATGCAGGTGTTTGTCCGAAACATTGGCTGATTGAGTTTAAGTGTCCATGTTGGGCTTTAATGGCAGTTTGCACCAAGAACATTCAAAACAACAAAAACCTCGCCCAGCGTCTGGCAGGGCCGCCAAGTGGTAGGGATCCTCTTCCAGCACACGCTTGGAGATCATCAAGCACGACTCGTAGTCTCCCTGCAGGAGAGGATGGAGAGAAAACAAATGCATCGCGGAAGACGACGTAAGACATCCAACGCTTTCAAACCAGTAAGACTCGTGCATCGCTGCATCGCGAAAAACGTAGCGCAGCAAGAAGCTACTAGTAACAAGGACGTTAATGCTCAATTAGCAATAGTAAACCCCCCCTCCGCCCCTATTAAAAGAAATATATTTCTTTTTTTTCGGGGTAGGTCAAAACTCTCAACCTCAATAGATAACCTCCAGGCCATTTGGCAGAGGGGATGTGGAATATGAATTGAAAGTAATTCAAAACTCAATTTCCCCAATTGGATTCCCCAATTGGAGGGTGTTTATTATTGTAGGTTGGTTTATAATTGCAGGGGGTAGGAGTCTAAAGGGGTACCCTTTGAACATATGTGTATTTGTTTGATAGGGTTTGCATAAGGAAATCTAAAGCTTTTGGCTAGCCAAAGTTTTTTAGAAATCTGATTGGCAAAGATCAAAAAGAAAGATCCCACAAAAGAAGAAGAATAAGAATAAAATAGGATAAATTATGATAAATTAACAGTAAAAGGGCAAATTTGGGATCTGACCAGAAAAAGCTTATTACTATTGTCTAATGTGTATGATTGACTCTTCAATTTGTTTTATAGATTTTGGGGTCTGGATGTTGACGCAATTAAAAGTAGTATTCAAAATTCTGGCAGGCCAAAAAAGCTTAGTTATTATTGAATCATTGTCTATTACTGCTAATTCAACATTACTACTAGTAACAAGAAGCTACTAGGAAATAGTTCATATCACGTATTTCAAGAAAATTCAAGATTCATATGTGGGGCATTTCAAGGATTCCTGACAGAATGGACAAATTGCTGCACATTGCGGCAAACCACTTTGCTGAATCTCAGGTTGCCCATATAGATCCATATATATAGTATCATATAGTCATAGTCCTAAGTCCTAAGGTATGAAGACTCAAGTCGCTTCCAACGTGTTCAAACGAACCACGAACAGTCTAGGCACACCAGTTGCAAGGAGAAGGTTTTTCTCCCGGGCATAAAGAAGATACGCGAGTTGGCCGTTGGATTGGACTGGCTTGCATGAACATAACAAAGTGCAATTAAAGTACAGTGAAGGCAAACCTACTGTCATACATAAGCCTAGAAGCCTATAGGTAGTGTGGGGTAGTCCAGCCAGGACACCCCTTGGATGGTCCTGGTACTGTCACACACAATTGAACATAGTTGAACCACGAAGGTTGTTGAATGAATGAAACCTGTCCGTGGATCAGCTGACCCTAACGAAAGGATCCCCTTTTTCGGCAGTGGTTCAGTCTAAGGGGTGAACTTCATGACAAAAGAACGTCCTGTTCTTGTTCTTGTAAGTGCCAATGTTCTTCTTCTTTCTTCGTCCTGGTCTGTCTGCTGCAATTGTAGTCGTAATATATCGTAATGATTGGTCTGTTCCTTGGCATGCCGAGTGGCATTCCAACAACCTTCAAACGCCCAGTTGACCAACAAGGCAGACCCTCCGACCACCCTTTTCTCCATGTCCACTCGCACCACCATGACACCCCACGGCCACGTCTGGGTCCGGGGAAAAAAGAGGACCTGATCACACATCAAGGACATCAAAGAGTGCAAAACTCATCTTCCTGAACTGGACCTTGGACTTGAGGCCGGGGTTCGTCAGTCCAGTCTGACCGGGACTTGAAATGGTTGAGTTCGGAGGAGGTAAGGTCATGGTGAATCACCCTTCAGGATCCTTTGTTTGGGCGAAGGCTGGGCACACATAGCTTCAGTCAGCACAAAGCTGAAGCTCAAACCATGGAGATGAATCTCCCTCATAAATGGACAAGTGTTCAAGGACTTGTTCTTCTGCTAAATGGCAGCAACTCGATTGTGGAGCAGGTGACTCTTGTTGCCGCCCGCTTCGGCGCCCCAAAACATGCACCGCATGCGCGAATGTGGGGAACCTCTGCGGCCGCCTCACACTGTTGCTCATGCAGGTGATCTCCTGCAAGCATGGATTGGAACTTTCGGCCACTTGGAAGCCGCTGGGCAGGCTTTTGTAAGGGTTGGTTGAAAAAGTAGATCTCAGAATCAGTTCTGTTAGTTCTGCAATGTTCTGTGCGTGTTTGCCATCACCCAAAGGAATATGACCCTATCGGAGCATCTACTCGTGGATAACTTCCACCAAGTTCTTAGCCCCGATGGGAACCATTCAGGGCCACTCTCTACTCCAACACTGCTCAGGGGCGTCATTCCCTGGCTGAAAACAGGCGCCTCGTGCTAAATCCTAAATGCTATATTACACGAATGGATTGGACTTGAGCTTTCACATTAGTATAGATCAACATGGAGAAAACAAGCATCTCGAAATCTCTCTTAATTATATGCTTGCCCTTGCTGTTATGCCAGTCACACCTACGTACCCAAATTCCTCAGTTGGAGCCTGCACCTTTTTTCCGAATGTGCGCAGCTCGGCTCGGAGTTGGCTCGAGTCTGAAGTGTGCAAGAAATCCCCAGCGCGCGCTCAGCTGATACCTCAACTCTGGCTCAGGTGTCGAACGTTTGATGATCTCTTCCCCCAAACCGAAGTCGCCCCAAGCACTTCCGAAAGGTGCTGCTGGCCAAAAGCTTCAACCAAAGGCGCCTCCACTCCTTCTTTCACTCGGAATCGATAAACATAATGTCTCTCTCTCTCGTTGGGAAGGCCTTTCCCCATGAACCTTGCAGTTCCATGCGGCCCTGAACCATCCAGTTCCTCATATGAAAGAGTTCATTTGGTCCTGATGATTGACCTCCCAGGAACGATAAAGAACGAACACACAAACACTCCAGCTTTCAACTAATTATATAGGTTGGCCATCACAGGCTCTTGATTCATTGCCCCTGCATGGGTTGAGTCTGTTCCCGATGGTCAGTCTGTTCAAGTACACATATGTTCAACATCTCTTCATTCAATCCTCAAACCACCTCCAACCCCACCCGACAGCCATGACACAGTTGCGAGTTTCCGCTGGAGAGACTCCTGCGGTCAACGGAGCGTCTGTTCAGCAGTCACATCTTTTGGGGGTGACATGGCTTTCTGGGGGTCCACGTTCAGGGTTTTGGGTATCGACAACGATGGATTAAGAATCGAGAGAAATCGGGCATTTGGACTGTGGATGTGTTTTTTTGTTGGCACCATTCCACTGTGCTGTCTACAACTGCAGGGTAACAAGCACAAATGTCTGTGGGAACGGGTCAGCAGGGGAGATGGGGTCTATGGCGTCCTGTTCTCGAGCCAGCAAGGAACGTTGAACACGTGCAGGAACTATCAAAGCAGAACACCGTGGACCCTTGATATGAGCCCTGAGCTATACCCTCTGGTGTGCCACACATATATATATATATATACATACACATACACACACGCACACACACAGATCTCTCTCTCTATATATACATATACAGTATGTACACTATACCATATACATCTACCCAAGGCACATCATGATGTGCCCTGTGTCAATTCTGCGATTGTTCCCGTCAATCTCTGGCCCAGTTCAACAGCATTCAGATTATGTTTCACTTCTTGCGTCCGGCTTTCTTGTCGTGAATTCAGAGTCTGATGAGTCCTCCAAAGCCGCCTGGTTTGCTCTTACCACGCAACCCCAAATCAAGAACCATGAAAAATGGCCACCTGTTTGTCATCGCAGAGTTGAACTTTCTATCTCTGATAGAAGCCGGACTGGGTTGCATCACCCCACAGAAACTTCAACATCGTCCAAAACTATGCCTTCGCAGTTGTTAAGACGATTGTGCGGAAATCAGGTGCGAAGCCAAAGATTTACAATCCCCTTGCCAATGATTGCCTTACTTCATCTTACTTCCACTAGTTGCCTGGCAGGATTCTTCACAAACCAAGTCTTCCATCTTTCAATTGCACCACACTGCCCTCCCTCCAACCTGTCCCACCCCTGTCCCGGCCCTCAGGTGTCCCGGCCTCAATGAACTGATGTCCTGTCTCAACCGACCTGGAGAGATGCATCTTGCTCATCGACGCATCTCGCTCCGCAGTTGGATCTTCGCTCCGCAGTTCTTCGAATCGTCTCAACTCACCAGCTCTTCATACCATGCGCCAAGGATGAGAATCTTTCTTGAATAGCTGTCCCTCCAACAATCATGCTGGGCGAACGATTGTCCTCTACAAACAGGCGGTTGTCCACTTCCATGCTTGTTGGAGGGAGGGTAAACTGCCCTTAATCCCACCAAAGAACGAGCAGAACCCGTCCCGTAACACTCCATGGGACTGGTACAATCATGCGTACACTGCCCGGAACAAACATGGAAGTGGAAAAGGGCCCCTCGGACGACCATGATGACCATGTTCCTCTACTAACTGGGGGGCTTTCCACTTGCATATTAGTTTCAGGGAGGGTATACATTCCAAATGTGACGCTGGGCCTGATCCAAACGCGCGCTTGTCGCGGGGACAAAAACATCCACAACATGTAACAATGTAACATGTATGGAATTGTATGTGTATATATATATATACATCAATGTTGGGGTGGCCACTATGCCAGTACAATACCTTGGTCCTATGTTGGGGTGGTTGACCCGGGATGAATGGGGTGGTCACTGGCTGCCAGTCCCGATGGTGGTCGCTCATCAGGCTCGCCTTGGTCTGGTTCTTCACTGCTTCGGCGGCCGCCCGGATCTTCTCCTCAGGCGAGGTGGGAGCGTTTTGGTCCGGTGATGGGGAAGATTGAGTGCTTTGCAGCATCAGCGATTCCAGTCTTCTTCTGTCTTGGGGAGTTCGATGGTCATGGACAGCCGCCCATGGTTGAAAACCACCGACAAGAATCAAAGCCCTCCAGAAACTGGACCTTGACAACTTTCCGACAAAGCAGTAGAGAATTGGCCGGCAAATGAATTATGGATGGTCAGGATGTGTCAGGATCTGGGCCACCACCCAGGCATGGCGGCTAGGATGCTCAGGTGAGTCTGTAGGATCTTCATGGGAGACCCCTTGGAAGGTCCAGATATGTTTGCCCAAAAGACCTGCAAAACGTAAATTCTGGAAGAACTTAGGTAAAGAACAATAGCTTTCAAACCCTTGACCTGCCGGCGAACCCACCTTGACGCCAAAGACCCCGGTGTCCAGCTGTGTCTTCAACGGAATGTCCGCCAATCGGAACATAGAAAACGCACATAGGCTAGGAACTTTCACTCAACTTTCCCCCTCGTCTCTCTCGTCCAATGTTTTTGTGCCGTACTGAGAAACTGTGACTCCGCCGATGCTCTTGACGCCCCTTCCGCTCCACTTCGACTCCCCTCCCGGTGCGGTACGAAGGGGCTGCGTCGCCCAAATAGCGCCCGAACTTCAAGGGCTCCACAGCCAGGCTGGTCGGCAAGGGTTTCAAGTCCTGGCCATTTGGATTGGCAAGAACAACAAGTGTACACACAAGCAAGGAGCTTCATGGATGAATGAAGTGTATCCCTCAGTTGTTGGTGATGGTCTTGTCACGTGTAAAAGTGCGGAAGCTGTTCATGCATACTTCATTATAAGCTTGTGGGTGGGTCTAAAATGTTTGGCCCACCTCACTGCTCGCTATTTTAGCAGTAGATGCCAGTTGAGGATGTCACGCCTACTCTGGAAGACGACCCCAATTGACATCATTTGACCGGTGCGGACAATGTCACGTCATGGCTGGTTGGGAAAATGAGGACTTCCTCTGCGCTCGGGTGCGACATATCAACTTCCATACTCCTTTGGTCGGGAGATCCTCTATATTTTGTGAACCCACTAAACATGGGGCACAAAGCCATGTCTCGACCATCGAGTGGTCAACAAGTAAGAATGATGAGGTCCCAGCACCGCCAGTAGCAGGTAGGTTCATCTTTAAAGACGGTTGAATGAGGGTCCTGACTTGGTAGGTATCATTGTCGTGAGGTTAGACCTCATGAAATGGAATACGAGGAAGAGAGAAAACAAAATCCAGCCAATCAGAGGTGCACTGCGGGTGGCGGAGCTTAATTAAGGGGTGGATGTTGGGGCTTTTCAGCAGCCAAACCAGCTGTGCCAGCTGAACCCACGCTAGGAAGGTCATTTCAAGGGAACCCACGCTATCAAACAAGAACTTAGTTTATAGCGACATATACCACAACACGTAAAGTTCCAAGTGGCCAAACCTTCCGAAAAACAACTAAGTTCTCAACACTCGATGGTTGCATGTCGGTTGAGGGGCTTCCTTGGTTGTAGCCCCTGTAGAACAATCAAACAATAGAAAACTAAAAACAACGAACTCACATGAGGGAGACTCATGAGCTGCCTTGGTTGTAAATGCTGAGCCTTCAGAGAACTCCACCTTATGAGTTGAGTGCCTTTCTTCAAGAGCTGGCTTTGCGATGCGAAGCAATGAGGTTCAAAAGGGCTCAACACCTTTTGGGAGCTAAGTAAGGTAAGGGACCCTTGCATCTCCTTAAGCAAAAAGCATTGCATGATGTTGCATGGGGAGTCATTATGTTGAGGAAATTATTAATTCACTGTAACACCCTCTGTCGCTACCCCGCCCTGAGTCGATAGCCTCCTTGTCACCGGCCTCTCCTTGTCAAGCTCGTAGACCAAGGGTGTCCCTGTCGGGATCTCCAATCCCGGGATCACGTCGTCAGAGAGACCTTCGATCCTGAGGATGTCAAGCTCGAACCGACAAATGTCAAATGTACTGTACAACCCATGCTTCGAAGCAACCCATGCAAAACTCCGGCCGAGGAAAAAAACACTGATCTCAGGCCCAGGGATCATCTTCACGATGGCGCGGATGGAGTTCCCGTGTGCGGCCACGAAAACGGTCTTTCCTGCTTTCAGTGCAGGGGCAATGGTCTCCTCCCAGTAGGGCATCACCTGCAGGGCGAACGCGGCGAACGGGCCAGCCTTCAGGCGGGCGGACGTGTTCCCACATTGTTTCTTAGCCTAGCTTAGCCTTATAGGGACTAACGTGTATGTCATGGGCATAGGGTCGGCGGGTTTCTAAGATTCTGAACGAGCAACGCTCAACTAATTGTGTGCATTTGCAATTGCAAAAGCATTTGTTGAGACTCTTGCGCTTACTGTTCAACACTAATGCTGTAATGATCAACATCTAAGGCTCAAAAATATCACATGCTCATGTAAACATATTTTGCATAGCCGGTGATGAACCATCCTCCACAACCCCGTCTCTTTTTTGTGATTGAAGTGCTGCAAAGCCATCCTCAAGGTTAGTGAAGTCCTTTCCAAGGTCAACTACAACATTTGCTCACCAATGGCTCTTGCAACATATGCATGACCACGAGCTCAAACCCTTCCCAGAAGGACACGGACGCCCAAATCTGCATGCCAACATGTTCACCCCATGAAACTGACAGGTTTGCTCATCTCAGCCCCTCCACTTTCTCCGGGCCACACGTGCGATGGTGTCCTTCAAACACTCGGTGTCTGGCAGGTCCTGGCGTGAACCACGCGGGGACCAAACAACGTTGGAGCTTCCGAACGACGCGGCAACTCAGCTTAGAGTCCCACTGACGGTGGGGCAGGGATCTGGAAAAAGTCCTGAGAAATCCTGAGAAACGTGGACTTCCCCTGAATCATGTACGTGATGTGTGGCATCTTCCGGATCATGGAAGGACCCACGGTTAACCATGGGTTAAAGAGGGGAACGCACAAGCCTAGTCTGTGCAACACACTGAGAGGCCGACACCTTTGGGAACACCCAGTGGTCTCAGAGTCGTTCAGTAGGAACAACTATATAAATACATCTGAAACAATCAAGTCCTTTATAACGGTCGTTGGAAGTGGAATGAAGCGGACACATTTAGGTCTCTCTGCCAGTGTCATCTAGCAATATGTTTGCATTTGCCATCTCACTGCCAGGCTGCGAGGATGGGGGTCTCCTAGTTTTGACAAGGCTGCCATGGCAAAGAGCCCTTTTCCTCCAATATTGCCATGCGCACTAGCAAGCGTGGTCTCATTCATGACGACCCCGCAACCCAACATCACCACATTTCACATTTAGGTGACAAAGGAACACCACAATACATACCAAATCGTACCAATGCCTTTTACCTGTGGATATCTGTGGATAACAAAGCTCTAGCGAGCTTTGGAGCAGTTGTCCACAAGCAAAAAAGCAAACAACACAAGCGCCACACACAGTCGCGCGCAGTCTTGCAACATTTCGCAAGCTGTTTCCTGCAAATTTGCTTCAATATGCCCTGGCCAAGAAAACCCCATCAAACTGGACATGGGTGCTGCATGATCGCCACACAACCGCCCTACCTCCATCCTTCGATTCCGAGGCTCCTGGCCATTCAGCTCTGAGCTTCTGTCCCCAAACATGTTCCTCTTGAACCCCCCGGTCCCCTTCGCTTGCTCGAGAGCGTCTGAGGTGAAGACCCGCGGTATTTCCCTTCAAATTTGGACCAACCCGGCGATCTCAACGGGGGGTCCCAACCCTGCCGTCGCCTTTGGATCCAGGTCTGCATACTTGGCTTCGTGGCATGGGTGGTACTTGTTCTCCTGGGCGCTGCAGGCTCGAAGTGTCTCCATGAAACGGAGAGTTCACACACGTCAAGACTACGTCTCTCATCTTCTCTCCAGACGTACATGTCTTGTATTCTCCAGTGCTCAAACAAAGAACATAGGATGTCACGATGTCTAAGAATTCTTGACCCCCATCCCTCACTGCCTTTCTCGGGCCCCGCATGATGCGCCTTTGTCTTGCCCAACTACAGGTCTGTTCAGGAATTATGAGAAGTTGTGTCTTTTAAATCCTTTTCATCAGGAAAACGCCTAAGCCTATCCCTCTCTCTCTCTCTCAACACATCTATTATATGATCATTGTGAGCTATGAGGTTGCTGTAACTGACTTGTGTGAGCTTGCCGTGTCAATCTTCGGTTCCTCACTTTCTGATTTCTTGCCCCGAGCAAAACGAAGGCCCTGCCCCCCGATGAATCCTCATATTCCAATGGGCTACATGTAGTCTGTAGTCTTTGGATGTCTTTGGGTGGTTGGGGCACGCCGCCTCAGGGAGAAACCTCCAGCAACTCCCTCCTTCTCCAGGGCGGGTGGAGGAATGTCGAAGCTCCGACGCCAGATCTGCACCTGGAGAGGACCTCTCTCTTCTGGAGGTCTGTGCTCATGGAAACACCGTGAAGAATAAAGGCGCCGGGGGTGAAAATGCGGTGGTTCTGGGATTTCAAGGGAATGCTTCACCAACCCCGCTTTTTTTCCAGCACGGCAAAGTGCATGATCAGGTGTGGCACCTTCCTAGACGTGAAATGGCTTGGTTGAGCCGCTCATGACAGAACCCTGGTGACCATACTTTCTCCAACTGTCAGGATCGAAAGGGGTCGGTAGGGTTCTGCCCAGCGCGGTCATCAGTGCCAATGCCCCCCACCTGATCTGCTCCATGCTTCTTGACCTTGGGATGAAGGCACTCGAAAGGCTGCCCCGTGTGACAGGGGCGCCTTCAGGAAGCTCCATGGCTAAATGATGATAAGAATAAACTCAACCCATTGGTCCGGGAACTCAAGGGTAGAAATCTTGATGTGCTGGAAGGTTGGTGCAGGTCACTGTAAGGTCACTGTAGGTCCTTGCCATTCGATGCACATTAGGTCCTTGCCCCGGTAAGCATCGCCAACATTGCTTGAGGAGCAAAGCCCTCTGACCGGTGATGATTGGAGTTCTGTGGCTTGACTCCTCCTGACCGGTCTCGATCCACGTCCCAAGCGGTTTTGCCAGGCGTTTCCATCAACATGGACCTGACGTAACTAGTGAACGAGTATAGTTTCAATCGATTGGCAGAAATTCTAACAGGTGTTCCAAAACAAGGCTCCCATCACAAGAAAAGGAAGTTCCTGCCATCTACTCCACAACTCATGTAGGCCGGCTGAGGCCAACACAGTCTCCTTCTTGTCCAAACCTAGCCAACGCGCTGCTTGAAATGTAGGTTGCTGTCGGAGGTGAGCCAATCCCAGGTGTTTCTGGAGTTTGGAGGCAGCTCGTTCACAACCCAAACAGTTCAACCCTTAAAAGAACAGGCCAGTGACCTGAGTCAATGGCACGACTTGGGTGTTGATTCATTGAGACCCCAGCAGGTCCTGACTTGCGGGGAGCGAGTGGTTTCGACTCAGGTCACCAAAGTGGCTTCGCCCAAGCCGAACCCCACCGGGGCGGCACATCGGGGATCCAGTTGGTGCCGACCAGTCATTTCTCTTGAGATATCCATTTTCCAGCTAACAATTCACTTGTTCCACTTCAAGCAACTCTGCCGAAAAACGAGTATCCTGAAGAGGACAGTCCCCTTATCAATTATTTACATCGGTTTCAAGAGTAGATGGCACAACCCCCTAATTACATGTCTTTTAGATGCCGGTCCACATAAACCACCTTTTGGGGATTGTGCCGTCTACTCTCCATCCACTCTAGTTCCAACATCTTGCTTCCGACCACCTGCCAAACCACCGCACCTGTCAAACCACCGTACATGCGCTCGTTCAGTCGCCAGGTCTTGTTCACTGGCACATAGTACTGATCTGCAGCCTGTCAGGATGCGTGGCAAGCCTTGTAAGATATGCATTCGGAAGATGGTCCACTGCCAGTAGATGCGGCATGTTTTAAAATATGTTGCAATAAGTATATAATTCGGTATTAGATGAACTACATGTTTAGCTGCAAGCAGGGCTGAATCAGGTGGATCACTGGAAAACAAGAGCTCCAAACATAGGTTCTTCTGAAATGACATGATTCAAATAATTTCACCTATCAAAACCTTAATGTGCAGTTTGAAGAATCTCTTGGCGTCAACAGCATCACATACCATCACCGGCCACCCTCTTTCCGGTTCGCCTCTAAGGCCAGGTTGCAGGTCTTGATGGCTCCTCTTTCAGCGAAACCGCCACGAGCGAAAAGGCTGAGTTTCAGCGCAAACTCATTCAAACCGAGAAGCAGCTTTTCGTGCAGCTTTTGAGGGCATCTTGTTGTGACCCAAAGGTTTCTGGAACTGAAGAATTCCAGAGCCCCCCAAAAAGATAGAAAAAGGCACTGCGATGTGCAAGAAATGATGCACTTCAGGCGATACGGGACTTGTCCGTGATTTATTCCATCAATGGCAAAGGCGTTCCCACTTATAGGGAATCACACTTTGATGGTATCCCGCCTCTGGCACAAAATTCTGGAAATTTGGTACCACTAGGCCTCCACCGGAGACCTATGTTTTGGGTGTGGATGCCATCAAAGTGTGCTAGGGGTTTAAGTTTATGTGTTGTGTCTCTGCCTTTTGAAGGACGTCGTTTTTTTTCGAACATCTTACTAGATGCCATCTATTTGTTCCAGGATC